TCGTGCGCGCCGCCGGGTGCCCCGTGCCCCTCGCACCTTCGGCCCCGGACGCGGCGCGCAGCTCGCCTACCGGGGCTGGGAGGGGGCGGCAGGCTGGGGGCGGGCAGGGGCCGTGCGTCTGCCCCCCACCTCCCCAGGCTCCCTCCTCGCTAGGGAAGGTCTATTTTCGCTCAGCTTCCCTCTGTCTCTGGTTTCATTTCCTTTTTCCTGATCACGATTCAAATACAATAGAAGGAAATCACATTTAAAGAGACAGCTGCCCGGCCCCCCTTTCTTTCTTTCTTTCTTTCTTTTTTTATACGGGGCTCCAGGGGATTAGTAATACAAATAGCAGCAGCATTAGGACTGAATTGGCTTCTTAAAGGGGCCAGCGTCCAGAATCAGGAGAGTCACTTAGAGAACACCTCTCCTTGGAGAGGAGCCCGGACTGCCTTGAAACCCTTCTTTAGCGCGTCCCCTCTTTCACGCTTCCCTTCTGGTTTAACTAAAATTAAAGTAAGCACTGGGCTGCTGCTCAAGAAAGAAAAGGCAAGCCTGCGAAATAAGCACATACAGAAACACCAGCCGAGTGGCTTTCGCGCCCGTCGGGGGTTCGAAGTCCCAGGTCCACTGACGTCGGGCGCGGGGATGCCCAGGACAGCCCAGCTCTGCAGGCTGAGGTGACTGTGTCCGCGCTCCAGACAGGCAACGCAAGCTGTGCGATCAGGGACCGCACGGGCTAGGTACGCCTGAGCGTGCCAGGGGCAGCTAATCCCAGAGGGAGGGACCACGCGTGTCCAGGTCCTTCTCCTTCTGCCGGCAGCAGAATTCCCTCCCTCAGCATCTTTCAAGAGGCGGACCGCGGCGGACGCCTGCGGTTTAACTGGCCCCCTGCAAAGAACCAGTAAATACTCAATACAGAGAAAGCGCTCTTCCAATGACCGTGAGCGATCGGGAGCTCCTTTTGCCGGGGGGTCAGAGAAGGGGAAAGAAGCCAGATTTGATGCTCAGGTTCAGGTCTCCT